TACATGTTCAAATATCTCTTTATACCCTTTTGCTCGCCTGTAGGGCATCATGTTTAGAATATCTTGATATCCATTTTTAACAACCTTTTGATTGGTTGGTAAAAAATGTTGATTTGTGATTCCCATTTTGATCACATGGAAAGATGGATGCATATATTCAAGAAGAGGATCCCACTCCATGGTTGCTGAATGGAATCTAATATATATATATATTTGTTGTTTTAACAACTTCAGTATATCTTTTGACAGCTTTCCTGATGTTGGCTGGAAGTTGAGCTATCTCTTTGAGATCTTTACTAGGATATATATAGAGTATATTTCCTATCTCAAAGCAATTTCGAACCCAACTGGCTGGTGCTCCTGGATAAAAATTTATCTTGTTGTATTTTGAATAGTGGAGAGTCTTCATCCACTTTCCAATCTCCGGATACCAATCTGATAAAATATTGAAAATAACAATAAAGAGTGTTACTTCTTCATGGTTATTTTTTCTGGGAATTTTTGCTTCATGGCATATCTTGACAATATCTTTTGGATCTATCCTTTCAATAGAAAGTTTAGATTGAGTTTGGCTCTGTGAAGAGCTACCTTCTCTTTTGATATCTTGAATATCTTTATTACCAGTAATAGGTTTGAGTATTCCCTGTGAAGGGGTTCCTATTACCTTCTTTTCTTTCCCTTTATCATCGGGGAGAGCGCTAGTATTCACAAGTCCCTGCAAAGGGATACTAGTCTTAGTACAAGTAATTTCTGCCTCAAGGGCTATATTTTTGCCTCGAAGGCTATCTTGAATATTTTGAATTTGGGTTTTCAAATAGGAAACTTTTATCTCAAGTATTTGGACTTTCGTCCTTAGTTGTTCTAGCTCCATCCCTGCTAAGATAATCAGGAAGAAAGTTAGTTTTTCCTTTAATATATTCAATATCAAATTTGAAATATGAGAACCAAATTTGTATTCTAATAATATATCTATTGGCAGTAGATGGATCAACATTATTTTTTAGAAATGCTTTAACTTGAGTATTGTCAGTTCTAATTAAAAACTTCTTTGGTAATAAATAATCTTCATATTTTTGAACTCCTCTTTTTACAGCAATGAGTTCTTTTCTGTTCGTCTCATATCTTGTTTCAACTTCTTTGAAGGTTCCTGATGTATAACCTGCAAGTATTTCAGGACAAGAACAATCTTTTTCACATTTATATTTTTTATGATTCTTCTTTACCTTTAGTACTGCTCTCCAGTAGTAATCTGAAGCATCAGTTTCTAGCATAAAGAAATCTTCTTCTTGTGGTATTACTAGTTTGGGCAATACCTTTAACTCTTCTTTAACTTTCCTTATATTTTCAGAATCTTGTTTTTCCCAAGACCATATTATATTTTTTCTTAACTTTGGAAGAAAGTAATTTTTTAATTTGGCACAATTTTCAATGAATCCTTCAGCATAATTTAATATACCAAGGAAGCTTTGTAATTGTTTCTTATTTTTGATTTCTTCAGGAAATTCTTGAAATTTTTCTCCAATGTGAGATTGCAATTGCAATTCTCATTCTTTTATAAATAATCCTAAAAATTCTATCTCTATTTTGGCTATCTCAGCTTTCTTTTGAGAAAGTGTAATATCATGTTTTTTCATAATATAATAGAATTTCTCAAGATGTTCAATATGTTCATCAATATTATTTGAATGAATAAGTAAATCATCTACATATACAATACAGAAATGAGTAATTGGTTTGATTACCTCATCCATTCTTCTTTGAAATATCTGTGGTGCATTTTTCAATCCAAATGTCATTACATTCCATTCGTATTGTCCTAAAGGATTGGGGGTACTAAATGCAGTTAGTGGTTTACTTTCTTCTGTAAACATGATTTGCCAAAACCCTGACTTACAATCAAATTTTTTAAAATATCTTTTTGTTCTGTACTTGTTTAATAAGGGTGTCCTTATTTGACAAGTAGTATCCATCAAATTTAGTAACTTCATTTAATTTCTTGTAGTTTATCACCATTCTGGCTTTTCCTCTTTTTATCTCACTATGTTTTCTAACCATAAAGGCTGGGCTGCTATGTGGGCTTTTACTAAGCCTAATCAATCTGGCTTCTAGCAATTCTTTTATCTGATTTTTAAATTCTTTTTGATAATCAACACTGTATTTCATGGGTTTGACTCTTACTATAGTGTCTGGATTGATTAATTCTACCTTTGCTTTTACTTTGTCTATATTCCATTTTTCTAAAGGATTTTCAGAATATGTTTTAGAAATTTCTTTTTTCAATTTTTCCAACCTATTTTCTGTTGTCATTTTTAAGACTGTAACTGCTTTAAATTTTTCTGTACTCCAACATTCACCACGCTGGGTTGAGGAACTCTGATGGTTTATATCTCTATATGCAATTGTAACAGCTTTATTAATTTTTGGTGTAAATATTTTATGTGCACAAGGTGTTGTGAACATATACTTATCAATATATTGTGTAAATGGTACATATTTTAATAGGAAATTTTGTCCTAATAAATTATCACATCCTATTGTGGTTTGACATGTATATTATATCAACAAATACTTCTCTAAAGGAAATTAGAAAAGGTACTTGCGTAGCAAACTTGCTGTATATTACCTTATTTCCTCATGCTGTTGTAGTAGTGACTATCTTCTTTGAATTGTATTTCCAGTATTCAGATGGTAGTACATTTGGTAAACATAAACTTATTATACTTCCTGTATCTAAATAAGCATGAAATTTAATTCTACAATAGCTTTTTATATTGAGTGTAATTTCAATGTATGGACTCATGGAAAGAGTACTCTGATACCATTTCATCGGAGTGTGCAGCGGAGAGGTTAAGATTTTTGATCCAATTAAAATTTTCATAAGTATTTAAAATATCACAATAAAATTTATAAAATTCACTATTTTTTATTAATACTTCTTCTTCAATGATTTTATTTAGTTCTTTAATTCTTCTTCTCAGATTAAGAATTGATTTATATATGTCATTTTCTGTTTTGATTATATTATTATCTATAGAAACAATTTTATTTTTTAATTTTGGATCTAACTATTCTACAAAGAATCCTTTCAGTTCTTCTTCTAAATAATTTAATTCACTTTCTGTTGCATTTCTTAGATCAATAAAATTTTCTATAATATTTGGGTTTAAATTAATTAAAGATTTTTGGTTTATATTTTCTTAAGGACCTATTTGAAGGTTTTTATACATTGTAGTGGCTTTGGTTGCAATTTCTCTATAAAGGGTATTTTTGGAAAGATGATTGTTTGAAGACTATTTTTCAAATGTTTTCATTTCTTAGTCTATTTTCAAAAACCTTCCTTTTATTTAGCATGTGTTTGGCCCCCATTATTCCTCATTACATTAAATTAAAATTTTCTCTCTCCTACTTTTAACCACACAATCTTCAATAAAATAATATTACACGTAAATCAAAAACTTTTCAACCACTCATTTTTCAAAAAAATACTATTCATCTCATTATAATCTAGGAATAATGGGGCTCAAACGGGGGCTTAAGCTGTTTTGATGTATTTCCCTATACTTAAACAGTGTGTAGTAGAGCACGCTTCCATGTATATTACAATGTATGCTTCATTGTGCGTTTTTATGTTAATTCATACCCAATTTATGTTTTATGAATGTTTTTTCATGTTCTTTTATTTCATATAACAAATGATGAATGAAAAACGACTACAGTCTTTTAAAACAATCAGGATTGTTTTCAGTTGCAACAAGAAAATGATTGCAGTCGTTTAAAACAATAGCAGTAGTTTTTCAGATTCGCATCTCGTTTTTTATTAACCCATTAAAGAATATTCATCTGCAGTTTATATTGTGATTGCATGAACGGTTAAATTTGGTTCAAGAAAGTCTCCGTCATTATATAGCTTTCGAGCAAATATTACTTTGTATCATTTGAAAAAGGAAAATTCTACTTGTACATAATAGTGTCCATAATGTGATGTGACAATCATCCGGCTGTTGATGTGCAGTGTGAGATTTGAATTAAAGATTGGATCCCGTGCCACGTGTAATTATGGACACCATTATGTAGACAATTATGTACACGTAGCACTTTCTTTAGACTAATGTTGGAGAGACAAATTGGTTTAAATCTCAATCATTGCTGCTCTTCTGCATTTTGTATCCTAAATTCAATTTTCCACGAGAAAAATGTTAAATAGAATAACGACAATCTCATTGGATATATATTGACGTCAAATACTTGTGGACCATTCACATTAGGATCTTAAACATATAAGCCCTTGGCAGTTCATTCTCATATCCAATTGACACTAATTGTTAATGTTTCAAGCATATTTTGTTCTTTTTGTGAAATAAATAGAAGTATATCCATTATTACTTATTACAACATAATAAACTATTTAAATGGGAATTTGTTTTCCCTGCGAAAAAGCCTAAACAGTGGTTGTCGTTGAATTAGGTAGGTATAGCAATTATTGAATGTACAAATGAAAATGCTGAGGGTACAAATGAAAAAGAAAGCTTTTGTTTTTCTTCTTAATAGAATAGAAAAAACTTAGGGCTTCTTCAGTAATGATTTTGAATATTTATTTTTTAATAGATAAAGGGAAAAGTGAATTCTATTTGTAAAAAAAAAAAATTAAAAAGTAAAAAATTACGATTAAAATAGTAAAATAATGATTAAAAATTAATTTTTTGGAATGAAAAATTACTACCAAACATGTACTTAGGGTGTGTTTTATTTTCCATGGAAAATATCAATTTTTCATCCAAATTCCTACTTGGAGCATTTGATTGCTATTTTTTTCAATGAAAAATATTTTTCAACTTTTGAAAATATGTCTAATTTTTCTTGTTTTTAAGAAAAATATTTTTCTTGAATAGATGTGATTTTTATTTTTCACATAAGATGAAAAATATTTTCTTTTTTAAGTCATATTTTCCATATCAATAAAAAAACACCCTTGATGGTCAAAAGGCTAAATAACACCATTCTCACAATATTCCTTTTAGTGGAAACAAGTTTGACGTAACAATTATCATCATTCATCAATAAAAAACGCCCGTTGTCGTTGTACCCCACGCATCTTCATCTTCCCCAAATCTTCGTCCAATCTCCAATCCTTCCATCTCCTCCATTTTTCGGCTACTCATCAATTCCTTGATAACCCGAGCCTTCAAAATCTCCGTTATATCTATCCAATTTTAATGGTATTTTTTCTTTATCGTTCTTTTTTTTTTTGGTAAATTACTCATAATTCAGTTTCATATTTAATTCGTAAGTTTTATAGTAGGTTCTGTTAATTTTTGGTTTCGTGAGTGTTGAATTAATTATGAAGCTGAATGTTGCTGCATTCTTATCCCCTATCGAATGTGCCTTTTTCTAGGTTTTCAGAAATTGATTTTAATTATTGTTCGAATAATGATAGGGAAGTGGCTAATTAGGCAATGATTTCAAGAAGTTTAAGTGCATCGTTACCGTTTATGATGTGTTCTCTCTCTCTCTCTCTCTCTGTTTTTTTTCGTTGGAAAGGTTTCAAACTAGTTTGAAGTGTAGATGGATAGTATGCATGGGAGCGAAGTGGGAATGATGGGCTATATGCAAGAGCATGATCATCATCATCCTGGTTTGCATCATCATGTGAGCAATGGGAATGTGATGGACCATGAAGAGCACGGCCATAATAGTGGTGGTGGTGAAAGTGAAGGTATGGATGGAGAGGTCTCTGCTGATCCCGGGAATTTATCTGATAACCATGGTGCATTGGTGGCTCAAGGCGTTGAGAATAATAATCAGCTAACACTCTCTTTTCAGGGCCAGGTTTATGTTTTCGACTCTGTCTCTCCTGAAAAGGTACCTTCTTTCTACAGAGATAGAATTTTAATACTTCAGTTGTTTGTATATTTTAATTACTAAAATGTGCTAAACAGAAGTAAACTTATAGGTTTTAATCACGTTCTTTGCTAATAAAGACTAAAGTTGTGAGTTACTTGGTTGTTTGGCTGACATGCTTTCTTCCTAGCAGGATGGTTGTACTACTAGTATAGGCTTTTACTCATCGTAGTGTGCAAGAGCTGCCCAATGCATTGACTATTAAATTTAATTATATAGGATGTGCACAAGATGAATAGTTGTAGGCGAAACAGAATCATGAATATGTTCTTAGTTGTTATTTGGACAAAGAATTGTGTTGATATGGAGCATAAAATCAGGACAAGTACGTTCTTTGACACTTCACACAAGTAAAACTAAATCAGTGGCATCTTTCATGCTCATTGTCATATTAAAGTGACTATATATGTCTCAAAGTATGTGCAAATTTCCAATTTTCCTGCATGTTTACGTGCTTTACGTTGATGTTAGACATCAATTTTAAAATTGGGATGTTCTAGTTTTTAAGTATTCCTATTCTTGTCCTTATCTTAGTATTCTCGAGATGATAAATTTCAGTTTGTTTTGATGATTTTCTTCAGGTTCAAGCTGTACTTCTTTTACTCGGGGGACGTGAAGTACCTTCTAACATTCCTCCGATTCCAGTATCTACTCATAATAGTGGAGTATGAATAACTTGAATTAACTTTTTATATTAGCGTTTTGTCTCGTCTAGAACCATCTGATGATCAATTAAAACAGGGTTTATCTGGTACCCCAGAGAAGTTCAATGTCCCTCAGAGAGTGGCTTCACTAATAAGATTCCGTGAGAAGCGGAAAGAACGGAATTTTGAGAAGAAAATTCGTTATACTGTTCGTAAGGAGGTTGCTCTAAGGCATGTAGATTTTTCCCTGAGATTCCCCCACATTATGTTTGAAGTTGCACTTACACGGACTTATTTATTTTTCTTACACATTTTCTTTGGATTCTTCTCTTTAATCGTTTTCTAACCGTTGTAGGATGCAGCGAAATAAAGGACAATTTGCATCCTCAAAGCCCAGTAACGATGATTCTGCATCCGCAGTTTCGAGTTGGGGGTCGAATCAAAATTGGGGAGCAGATGGCACTTCATCCCAAATTCAAGAGATTTCGTGAGTTTACATGTCATATGCACATCTTCATCAACTTTTATTTACATCTCTTTTACAGACCGTTGCCAACTGTTTGTTATATAGTATTCTTGTTCTTGATATCTCCCTAGTCCCTTCCTTCTCCTCTCTTTCTGTCAGTTTGTGTTTACTCAAGTTACTCATGACTTTTGACATTGGATTTTGTTATACTTTGTCACCTGATGCTAATGTAGTTTGGTGAGCTGCTATATGAATAGCACTATATGACCCTCAATGTTTGAGATGTTGTAAGACTAAAAAGCTCAATACAGAAGTGCTCTTAAGCCTGATACTATGATACTAAGCAAGAAGTGCATGAGAAAGCGATTAGTTTTATAAATACGATATCGTAGCAAATGGATTTCAAAATGGTATCATTACGTGGATATGCAAATTGTTAGTTTGCTTGGAGCTTCTTGGGCACTGCTAGGAAATGTTCACCATTCTAGTTCTCTTTCTTCTTGTTATATTGTGAGCCCGTTTGACATGACTTTTGCTTCCTATAGAAGAGCCTGCTTTTATTTTTGTTTGAAAACTAATTTTTTTAAAAAGATTCCTATTCCGAAAGTGTTTTAGTGGAAGTGACATTGGACCAACTTCCTCTTAAAACTATTCTAACTAGAAGTAGCAATTTCATAAAATTAGCCTAACAAATCCAAAAGCAAATTTTGGGTTCCAAAAGCTCCTTTTGATTTTTCAAAAACCATGTCAAATGGGCCTTGTATCTAACATTCAACAATGATATGCAACTATATATCAAAAAATTCTATATCACGATATCCGAAAGGAGTATTGGAGCATTAATGTTTTCCTTGAAATCCATGCAGCTGTCGGCACTGTGGTATCGGCGAGAAATCAACTCCAATGATGCGACGGGGGCCAAACGGGCCGAGAACCCTTTGTAATGCCTGTGGACTTATGTGGGCTAATAAGGTGATTATGGGGATTAATCATATTCAAGTCGCACCTGCTGTTTTAAGATATTTTTATTTCAGTATTTAGCTTTAGTTTGCACCATATTTTATGAACTTCTCCTCCTTTCAGATATCTTGTTTGTTATGCCATTTTTGTTCTGCCTCTCTACTAAGTACTAGTTTTTTTGCATTGCATCTACTGGTCCATTTTGTAAGTTTCACCTTATTTTCTTTCTTATTTATTCAAGTTTGGGAAGTTGTCATTAAGTAGTCTTTAGTCATGTGCTTGACTGTCTATGATTTCAAGGCTTCTGTGCAAATTCAGAGGCCCAGCACGTGTTTTATAGTTATTACACAGTGCAGATGTTAGACTTCATTTAGAAAATTCTCCTGTATTCTCCTCCTTGCTTTCTCTGAGATTTTGTACTAGCAAAGAGGGAATTTTGTCATAGTAGATAACAACGTTTAATAAAGCAACTTGTGTTGCCAGGGGACAATTTTTCCTGCCCATGTTTGTTAGTTTGACTAAGAGAAAAGCTGACTTGAAAGTCGAGTTGCAAATAACTAGATGCTCACATCGCCTTATCTGTCACTGTTAGTCAAGCTAACAGATATGGACTGAGTGACCCAATAATAGCAATGTCCAAGTTAAGTGACCAATTTAAATTTTAAAATAAAATGAAGATTAGAGACCAGCATAAAATTTCACTAAAAGTTAAGTGACTGCTATTTTATTCAACCTGTTCGTTTCTTATGATGCTGTCCTCACATCAACTTACAGGATCAAATCTTTACACCATAAAATTTTGGTTGCGCTGCTGATTACTTGATGTGTGTTTACCTTGTAATTGCACCAAGTTTCGAAAGTCAATAAGCTAACCACTCCTATTGTTATAAAATTTATTTAAGTTGAAACTGTGAAATAATGATTGCTTTTGCCTTTGCTTATTTTAGGGAACTTTGAGGGACCTCTCAAAGGCAGCAGCCCCTGTGGGAACAAATCCTAAACACAATCGGAGTGACGAGGTATGATCAATTAGTATTCTCTTTGTACCACATATAAATGTGTGTCAATGTAGTTTTAGGAATCTGTAAATGTTTGCGCCCATTGTGTGGCGTAATTTATATTCATCTCCTTGCAGAATGGAAATTTGGAGGCTGAGCAAATGGCTCTCAGAGCTGCAGACAATGCTGATGATTTGTGATGGCCATTGTTATATGTTAGGACATATGTAAGATAACCCGGTTCTGCTTTTTATATTGTAGTGAAGTGATGTCGATTGAAAAAGTTTTGATTGAGTGATTGTTCCGAATTGTTATTGTTCATTATTAATCCTTTTGTGCTAATGGAATAGTTGGTTATTATCTCTTTTCATTATTGTTGTTCACCCCAAAAAATGTGCCAACAAAATTTTGATCTCGCCCCCTCCACGTAGACATTACCTGCACACTGAACATCCCATAAAAAGGCAAAGGTTGCTGGTCAAGAAAGAGGTCTGACAAATGCTTGTATTTCGATAATCAAGTCAACGATCAAGCAAAATAATATGAGAGTGCAAGAGACGAGAGATGAAGTTTGGTTGCAGTTGGAAAACATACCTTAAAGAAATGAACTCACACATATATATATATAGGAAAATGTAAATGAGTCAAGAGATTAATGGGTCAAGCCCAAGATGCAATTGTTTAATTAAAATAGGCCCAATCAATAAATAGTCGATGCCACGTCAGTGTATATGAAATTCGTTCCGTCACGCGCATCTCACGTAATTTATAGGTGTAACAATAATCTCCTAAGTCCGAGTCATACATTTATGTGTGGGCCGAGCTTCAAAATATAAGCTGTTAAATAGGCGAAGACTTACAAACTACCTTGAAAATATGCATAGATCCTAAATAGGCAAGGACTTACGAATTGTTACAAGAATATAAGTCAATCAAAAAATGAGGATTTATGAATTGTCCTGAAAATATGCATCGGTTTCAAAGAGGCAAGAACTTGTGAATTGCTTCGAGAATATAAATTGCTTCCATAAGTGAGGATTTATGAACTACCTGAAAAAAATGTGTGCCAACCCGAATAAGGGAGGACTTGTGAATTGTCTCGAAAGATATATGCCTAATATAATTTTTCAAAATTTCTAAAGCATTTCCTCTGTAATATGACTAATCCATCATGCGGGTCAGACTTGAAATATAAGCCATTGTAATGAAGTTGATGTAGAGACGAGACTAAATATATAAGCAGCTGTGATAAGTTGATACAGAGGTGATACTCTGAATGTAAGTAATAGAGGTGATGCTCAGTATGTAAGTATTAGAGGCGATGCTCAGTACGTAAGTTGCAGAGGCGATGCTCTAAATGTATAAGTATCAGAGGTGATGCTCTGAATGTATAAGTATTAGAGGCGATGCTCTAGATGTATAAGCAGCAGAGACAATGCTCTGGACATAAGTAGCAAAAATGATGCTCTAGATGTCTAAGTAGTAGAGGTGATGCTCTATACATAAGTTGTAGAGTCGATGCTCTGGACATAAATTATAGAGTCGATGCTCTGGACATAAGTTGCAGAGGCGATACTCTGAATGTATAAGTAGTAGAGACGATACTTTGACATGAGTAGTAGGGATGATGCTCTGGACATGAGTAGCAGAAGCGATGCTTTAGATGTATAGGTAGCAGAGGCGATATTCTGAATGTATAAGTAGTAGAGGCGATACTTTGGACATAAGTAGCAGAACCGATTCTCTAGGTGTGTATAAGTAGCAGAAGCGACACTCTGGACATAAGTTGCAGAGACGACGCTCTGGACATAAGTTGTAGAGGCGATGCTGTGAATATATAAATAGTAGAGGTGATACTCTGGACATAAGTTGCAGAGGCGATGCTCCTGACATGAGTTGCAGAGACGACGCTCTGAATATGAGTAGCAGAAGCGATGCTCTAGATGTATAAGTAGCAGAGGCGATGCCTTGGATATAAGTTGCAGAGCCGATGCTCTGGACAAAAATTGCAGAGGTGATGCTTTGGATGTATATGTAGCAGAGCGATGCTCTGGACATAAGTAGTAGAGACGATGCTCTAGACATGAGTAGCAGCAGAGGCGATGCTCTGGATGTATAAGTAGCAGAGCAATGCTCTGGACATGAGTAGCAGAGGCGATGCTCTGGACATAAGTTGTAGAGCCGATGCTCTTGACATGAGTAGTAGAAGCGATTCTTTAGATGTATAAGTAGTGGAGGCAATGCTCTGAACATGAGTTGCAGAGTTGATGCTCTGGACATAAGTTGTAGAATTGATGCTCTGAACATGAGTTGCAAAGGCAATGCTCTGGACATAAGTAACAGAGGCGATGCTCTAGACAAATAAGTAGCTATGATATAGCTTATGCAGAAGCATGATGAGCTCTCTTGAATATAAATGTATTTGTAATGTAACAACTCATATGATGAGGCATCTCACGAGGTAAGGAAGAAATATCGAGCTGTTGGGTAATCTCAAACTATCGAGACTTATAAACAGGCCTCGAATAGACGATGTCTTATAGTTGGGCTCAGTGATAGTGAAGAGCGATGAATAAACATGTTGCAAAGCCAGGAATGAGCATCTGGCAATGTTGGAAATAAACATTCGCGAATAACTCTCGACCTATAGGAGTCTTATAAACAGGCCTCGAAATGACGAGGTCTTACAGCTAGGCTCAACAATAGTAAGAGACGGGAAATAAACATCTCTTAAAATCAGGAATGAGCACCTAAAAGGCAGGGAATAACCATCCTACGAGTAGCTCTCAAACTATCGGAGTCTTATAAGACGTCTCAGATAAACTAAGTCTTAAACTAAGCTCGATGATAGCGAGAGGTGAGGAATAAGCATCTCACGAATGAGACCAGGAAATGCTCCTTTTGCAAGGCTAAACACATCTGTTGATTAGCCTCTTCCTTCTTCAATAAACAAAAATTCCAAAGGATGCTACCTCTTTATTTATTCAAAAAATGAGGACTCCAAAATATTGCATCTTCTTTTATTTAGGGAACGATAACTCCAAGATATCGCATCTTCCTTTATTCAAGGAAGATGACACAAAATTAATAGGAAATCAATGAGCTAAAGCTCGCCTTCAAAGTTACGAAGTCTTATAAGCTAGCTTTAGACCCACGAGGTCTTAGAGCTTGCCTAAAATAGAGATAACCATGAGCTAAGGCTTGCCTACAATGATTAGGTTAGGCATTCGGATGTATCAATGACTACTCACAAGAATATCTGAGATGAAAGTGGTAGCGGCAATAAAACTCGAAGCAATACCTTTATGACAAGTATGGAAGGCTGTCCATGACTGCTTTTGAGCTTGATGTATAGCCGAACATTGAAAGGATATTGCCACTTTCCCTTGAAAATTACCAAAGGAGCATAATATCGAAAAAACCTAAGCCAATAATCAAATACGAAGTTGTTTCAAAACTTCTGTCCAATGGCTAGTACGCAATATTATAGTTCCACAATTCTTTCCCAATTTTGTTTAAGTCAGGGATTTATGCTACATCCATCATTACCAAATTCAATACAAAAATAGAGCAAAAAAAAAAATTATCCATTGAACCATCGATGCAATGCATTTCATGATTCATTATGGGTTGTGTTTCCAAAGCTCAATCTATTGTGGACATGTAAAACCAGCCCTTTGCTCTCAATTTTTGACTTAGTTGCCTTCCATTTAAAAATAATTTGGACAATCCATGAGCAAGGCCACTAGTAACATTCCAAAAATTCAAGTGCACTCATGTCGAACATAGAGAGACTATAGGTTGAATGGGGTTCATAAATTTGGAAAAGAAAATAGATTGAAATGGCCAAAGATGAATAAATGGTTAAATATCTCGTGGGCCCAAATACATTTGATAAAATCGGGAGCCAGCCCAAGAAAAATAAATCCTAGGACCCAATTCTACAATGCTCAAATGTAAGTCCCCAAGCATACCTTTAATTGAATAGGCCCGCCCATCTGCTATTGGGATCAAGCAACAAATGGGTTGACCCGCTCCAGTAGAAAGGCAACAAATGATCCATGTAGTTGCCGAAAATTGAGTTGCCAAAAAAGTCAACAAAAGGACAATTCTGAAAAGCATAATCAATTTGCAAAAACTGCGTGGATGGTTTAAATTGCATGCCACCGCCATGTTTATCCGGTGGACAAAAGAAAGACCAATGTATTGTGATTCATTGTGATGCCAGCAATTTATCTTACACTCGCACTACACAGCCGAAATCCCTTGACAAAGTCCCCTTACAAAATGACGTGGCACCAGTGTTAAAAAAAAAATTAAATTTGAAATCCGTATCTGATTTCTCTCTCCCCTATTATTTTTCCCCATTTTCAGATTCTCTGACTTTCGTTCTCTCTCTCCCCTATTATTCTTCCCCATTTTCTCTTTCCCAAAATCAAACCCTTCTCGAAATACTAACCTCCGGCAGTCGACACCGACATTTACCACACCTCCAGCGTCAATATTTATTTGAAGAATGTTACGTCACGAACAAAGTTACTATTAGATACGGTGAGAGTTTAGAATAAATTACCTTTCCCGCCTTCAATTAGCCGTCGAGCCAACTAACGTCACAAAGTTAGATCCGACAAAACTTTAGAGGTATGGTTTATTGACTTTATTGGTTAGGTTATGTTCAATTTTTAGGGAAATGCTGTGAAATGCAAATTGAGTTATGTGGTTGCTATAAATTCGGTCTTTGGTTTGCTATTAGTTCATTTATTGTATTAGAGGGTTGCTGTTTTGGTACTGTCAAACCATGAGTTGTTATGGTGGTGTTCTGTGTATAAGCTGGATTTTAGACTTGGGATTTGAGTTTTTTTGAAGTTTGAAATTTGGAGTTTAGGCTATAATTATTGTTCGATTTTCATATTTGCTAGTTTATTTTACTGGGTTCAATTCAGCAAGACAGAATGTCATGAACATTTTGTGAAAAGCGGATACTGGATTATGCTGAAAATTTTGACGATTTTGTGAAAAATGGGTACTGGATTATGCTGAAAATGATGATTTTTGTTTATTTTCTGCTAATCTAAAGGCATGTATGTCAACTTTCTGGGATTTTGCTTCATTTTCCCAAATGCCATGAACAAAAGCAACTATTAGTATTTCGAATGCAATTCTTGAAGCCAATATATATCATGTGGATTGCTTGTATAATTTCGAATGCAGTTCTTCTAGATTTTAATAATCATTGTTTGTGTTTATGTATCATGTTATTGCTTTATAGACATCTCAGTAAAATTTATTATAGTTTATCCTGAAATTATTGATAATTTCATATTCACTATTACGACAGAATGCCGAGAAGGAACTCCGGGTGTTGGGCAC